GGAAGTGGTCTTACAAATTATTAGAGATAAATAAAAAATATTATACCACTTTAAATAAAAAAGAATATCCATTAATCAATTTTGATAAAATGACACATATGGAAAGAATATATTTTTTAAGATGGGTTAATAATAGCAAATATGAAAAATCTTTATTTCAAAATATGTTAATGGATTTATGGAATAATAAAATATCAGATAAAAATTTAGATAGGATTTTTCAAACTTCATTGCTGTATCATATTAATAAATTCAAATCATCCAATGGGTATTATGATTTTTTCAATAAAGAGTATAAAAAAAGTATTTAAAAAGCTTTTTTGATACTGTAAATGAATATTGCGAATACTTAAGAACAAAAGAATCAAATACTGAAGTCAAACCCAATCAAAAAGAACCTCGACAAGAAATAGTTTTTCCATCGATTAAAAGATGAGTTACTTAATTAAAAATCTATTAGTTAGTTTTTTAAACATGTTATTTATACACAAATTACATTATATTTGTAAATCTCATTTAACTACCAATCCAAAAAAATATCAAGAATTAATAATAAATTATTACAAGAATAGAGGTAATATTAATGTTTCAAAAGATATAGTAACATGGAATCATTTAGGAGATGTTATTATTCATAACCAACCTATTGATTACGAAAAGAAAAATAAAAAGCCTATGATTATTTAACAAACAGAGGGGTGAACAAATATACCAATATCGATTTTATTAAAGAAATCCAAAGATATTTTTCATATTTAATAGAAAATAAAAAAAAGAATAGGGATGATGATGAATACGAAACTCAAAATCCTATAACAAAATTAAATGAAATGTATTTTTCATATCGAATTTGTAAAATTTCTTATAGTAGATATATTAAGAATCCTATAAAATATTAATTGATGTCTATAGCTTATTTTTATGGAAGTAATGAAACATCTTTCAATGATGTAATTTGAAAAAAAGGTGGTGCAAAGGTATTATTAACAGTAGCTCATAATGGAGCAATGCAAAACAAAGAGATTATTTTAGATATTCTTCAAAATATAAACAAGAACTCATATTCTAATTTAGATTATATAAATGAAATTCAAAATTATTATGAATACGTATTATGCGTTTATAAAGAAGGTTCGATATACGATCCTGTTGAACTTGTTAAACAAGAAATAAAATTATTGAAAGAAGAGGTTAATTTAATTAAAATTTCATATGAAAAAGAGGTAAAATCACTAAGACAAGAATTCAATTCATTCAAAAAATCAATCAAGGAACAAAAAAAGATTGATACATTGGTGACAGAAATATGTACAATGCTAAGCATAAACTCAGATAATAATTTATTAAGGATACACAATGCTTTGGTATCAAGTAACAACACGGATAACTTAACAAATCAAAAAGAAATCATCAAATCAATATGTGGTGTACTTGATATAAAATATCTAGAAAATAACGAGTATCAAAATCTTGTAAATATAAAAAACTTTATTAAAAAAAGAATATTTATAAATAAATAAATAAAATATTCTATATACTTAAAAATTCTTAATTATCTTACATATATTTAATCTTAATTATCTTATATATATTTAATCTTAATTATCTTATATATACTGTTCCGGACAGCATAAGATATCCACTATTTTTTTAAGCGCCAAATCTAGAGTAAGGACAATATAAAATATCCACTTTTTATTAAAGGCCCCAAATTTAAATAAGGACAGCATAAGACATCCAATTTAAATTATAAGGTGCGCCAAATTTAAATAAGGACGGCATAAGGTATCCAATTTATAATTATAAGGTGCATCAAATTTACTAATTTAGCTAGTTTATTATTAAAAATTACATGTGTACGTAATTAACCTGCTTTTAATAAATCGGGTAAAATTTACCTAAATTTATTTCGATTATTTCACGATATTTGTTAAAATTATATTTGCATCTAACCAATATTTCTAATCGTGTGTTTCATCTTTATAAAGCACTTTAAATATTTGCAATTGATTTTTACTCGATTTTTTTTCATTCTTTATTTGACTTATAATTTAATTTGCATGAGTGCCGCAAAGAAAAAACCTGCAAATTTTATAAAATTTGCAGGTTTTTTTTTTGCAGCACTCATTTATGCAAGTTTCAAGTTTCTTAATAAATTTCGTGCAGTATTAATAAGCCAGGTTTATTAACGAATTTTAGTCTTATTACATAAGGCTATTCTAAGCAAAAAAAAATAAAAAAATGCTTTTTCGCTCTCTAATTTAAATTGCATCAACGTGGTTCATGATGTCTTCATTAATTGTTCGATGCTTCTTATGTCTTCTCACTGCATATTCAGCAGCTTTTCCCATCAAGCCATGTCGATAAGCATCCATCCATCTAAACGACAATCTAGCAAATGAACGGATTTGTTCAAGTGAAATAGAATTAAAAGCCTTAATAATCATTTGTCTAAGCATTGGAAAAGAATATTTACAATTGTTCTGTGTATACTTTTTGGCAGCCCCCTAATACATTTTGATATGGTTAAATTCAGGGTAGAACTTGGGATAAAATATAACCTAAAAAATTTTTAAATAAGGAATAAGATAGCCAACAATAAAAAAAAAAAATAAATTAGCAAATAAATAAAATAAATAAATAAAAAAGGGTTACTTTATGACCATGAGATTCGATTTCCTGCTGAACTTGACCACATTGTACAAGAAAATTGGGTTGATTAGCCATTAGACGGCATGCACAACAATTGGTAATATTAGGGTTTGGCTCCTTTTTGCATGAAGCACATTCTAAGATCATTCCTTCTTGCCATAGTTCTCTTTTATCCAGAACCCACTTGAGCCCTTTTGGCTGACCACGTAAATTGATATTTGACTTTGTCTTATTATCATAAATGATGTAATCTTCTTCAATTACTATTGATTGATGGTTCCCATTCCATACAGTATCCCATATTTTCAGAACTGATCCACCTGGAAAAAGGTTTATTGTTGAAGACAAAAGGGCATTCTTAGCAAAAGCCGTATGAGCGGTGGCATTGTCAAAAGCAAAAAGACCTGTAGACAAAAATAAGATATAAATATTTATAAAATGGTTTTAAATTACTTTTATTAAATAAAATGTTTTTAAATTACTTTTATTAAATAAAATTTTTTATTTAATCTATTTTCTATCCTACCTACACATCCTGGATGTGTTCTTTCAAAAATATCTATTGCCCGTCTAACTTGAATAATAAGCTTTTTTGCATCCCAATATCCATCATGACGCGACCCTAATACCATCATTGCATGTGCCTCTTCAAGATCATCTCTAAGTGGTCTGATCGTTTCCGTTAAAAAATCGCTAACATGTATACCAAGACCCATTCCTTTCTTCCTTAATGGTTGCTACTTTTCTGGGCCCCATATTGCACATGGTCCATCATTAACGTGGAAGGTGGATTCGTCATGGGTTACCCAAATATGTTCCTTTTCTCTATCAGCTAACAGCAGGTAAGTTCTAATTTTACTATCTTCATCATACCATTTGGACATAAGCTGTTCATATTCACTAACTTTCTGAAGGAAGACTTGGCGATAGGCAACCACATCTGGTCGTTCGTGACCATCAATGTAAACACCTTTCGAATAATATTTATAGTGGAAACCAAGTTTATGTAACCATCGGTGGGCCGTTCGAAGAGAGATCTGTTGTACTGATTCGATAACCAATTGTGGGATAATTTGTTGCTCAACATAGTTTTTAACCATTATTGAATTTATTTTGAACTTCTGGGAATGCAGGTAAGCAGCCAACTTGAGTGAGACTAATTTATCATTAAGCAAGCTTTTTGAAGGGAACTTGCCACGACAGTGCTGAATTAGTTCTCCTGTAATTATGTAAAAACAGTAATTAATTTAATAATAAAAAAAAAATAAAATTAAAAATTAAAAAAAAAATTGTTCAATAATAAATAAAAAATAAGAACATATCTTTTATACAAATATTCGCCTATTTTCTAACACACTTTGCAAACCATAGTCCACCTCCAATTACCTCAGCAACCGCCTCTGAAGCTTCGATTTTTTTTTTACCATTGAATAACAACCGAAGAAAATATAAAGTTGCTGTATAACGGGCTTTCTCAGCTTCTGAGAGTTTTTCTTCACGAATTACTTTGTTTACAAACTCAATTGCATTAGCAATTTTTTTTTCTTTCTTAGTCATACCCTCATTATCATCCTCGTTATTATCCTTGTTATCATCCTCATTATCATCCTTGCCCTGTTCATTTTTATAAGAAGTGGAAGAAAAAAACTGTAAAATTGATAAAGATCCTACTGCAGCTTCTCTTAATGTTTTATTTTTTCGCTGCTTTGTTCAATTTGAATTTCCAACATAAACAGCTGGACGGCTTCTTTTTTTAAAACTGGCAGCCGATGCAGCAAGAAGTTGTTTAATAACTAAATTTACTCCATTGTCATCATCATCGTCTTGAAAATAATCATTCTCTTGGGTGTCATAATTAGAACTAACTAAGCTATCAGTTTCTGATTCGTTACTTGAGACAAGGTCAATGGCCTTGCTTGCTCTGGTGGTGCTTGCTCTGGTGGTGCTGGTTCTGGTGGTGCTGGTTCTGGTGGTGCTGGTTCTTTTGGTTATGGCGGGGCTGGTACTGAAGTCGGCATTTGCCAACCATACGGATCGAGCTAAATTTGCTCTTTCCTTTTGCTGTTGTTTTAACACTCTTTTTAACATTTTTTTTGATTAAAAAAAAGATTGATAACGATTTGATCCATTTAAATTTTTCCAGATATCTAATTTTAATTGGTCATACCCGATCGGCATGGTCACGTGATCACAGCACATCGACTTTTATTGGCTTGTCCCTTATAATCACATGCGCCAAATTCTCAACCT